GGGTGTTCCTGGCAACTTCTCTCCTCCCAACATCTCTTCATGCGCCGTATGGACCACAATGGCGCAGAAGACAAAACCAGGGCTGCCCAGACTGGGGACCCTGAGCACCCACACCTTTAGGCCTAACAGGAGATCTGGGCCACAGGCCCGAGAATGCCTGACCCAGGAAATTAGAATCAAAGCTGCTCAATTCAAACTCACTCCAGACCATCCCCAAAGTCTTGGCCCCAACTCCAGGCCTTAGCCACACCCTGAGCTCCTCCCTAGCCCCCAACAGTCTCGGTGCCCAAAGGCTGAAGCTGTAGGGTTGCCAGGTAACACAAGACCCTAGTTCAGTCTGAACTTTGGATAAACAATGAGTTTTTAGTGTAAGTTATGTTCCCAATACGGTATTATTCGTTGCTTATCTGAAATGCAAATTTAATTGGGCATCCCAACTTTTTTTTTAATCCTCTCTGTAGGACATGCTTATTGATTTTAGAGAGAGGGAGAGAAAGAAGCATCTATGTGTGAGAGAAATATCGATCCGCTGCCTCCTGCACGCACCCCGACTAGGGATCGAACCCGCAACCTTTCAGTGTTCAGGATGACACCCCAGCCAACTGAGCTACACCGGCCAGGGCGGCACCCCTATTTTTATTAGCTAAATCTGGCAACCCGAAGCAGGTGGTCCTGAAGGAGGGAGACAGGTGGGCACACAAATAACTCTGGGTCAGCCAGGCCAAGCTCTGACCCAAGAGGAAGGGTGTCTGAAAGGAGAGTTCTGCTCTTTGCCCGAGACACCCCCACCAGTCGCCCCAAGCCTGGTACGGATAAAATACAGCCTCACTAGCTCATTCAGGAAATCTAACTCATAGCACAAGTGCTCAGCCCCTGGCACTACCCTCCCCCCGGGCTCTGAGCCTCTTTGCTGTCATCACTGTAACCCACAGCACCAAGTTTGAAATGACCAAGTACTGGCCCAGTGAGCATTAGGATCACAGAGAGTCCCAGACAGACATCCCTGCAAAAGAGGAACCTTGGTGCCCAGCCAGCGAAGGGACTGGCTCCCCTTGAGACCCTCAGAAGTCTCCACACCACCAAGGGGGTGACATCTCACTGTCTTCTGACTAGGTTCACCTCCTCCTTCCCCCACACAGACCAACCCTTCCCACCACTCCACCCCAACTTATGAATTCCTGCTGGGAATTCCCTTCCAACCTCCCCAAGGTCCACGGCTCCTGGGTCCCAAGTCCCCCATCCCCCATCTCCCATCCTGAGCCCTTAGCCCTGGGTCCTGCTCTCTTTCCAGTGCTTGTGGATTAACCCTGCAGGTCTTGTTCCTGGGTACCCCATCCTCCGAGGCCTCTGCAAGCCCCATGGTGCTAGTGACACACCCTCCTAGCTTGTCTCAAAGAGCCTGTGTCCCAGGCTGCCGAGTATCAGAGAGAGAGATGCCCACGAATGGCTGAGTGGGAGGACTGAGAGAAGCAGGATGGAAGACACTTGGGGAACGAAGCCCCAGACACAGGTTCAGGGGAAGACACAGACCAGGGTAATGGGGAAAGAGGGAGCTCCTGGGAGAATGGGGAGCAGGAAGTTCAGGGAAAGAACCTGGGATTCCTACCATTGTGGGAGACCTGTCCCCGAGATAAAAAATGTAGGAGAGAGTTGCTTAGCAATGTGGGCCAAGGCTCTGGAGTAGGCCTTCATTCATGCATTCACTCACTCAAGTAGCCATTCAACAGATATTTGGGTACCAACCCTGCTGGAAGCCGGTCCACCCTTGCTGCTTGACACAGTCGCTGCAGGGAAGAAACATCTGCACAGCTTATGTTTCAAGGGACCTGGCGTATATGGCATATGTTTGCTCCCCCTCTTAGTGCTATGTGTTTTAAACAGGACCACCTCTCCGAGAAAGGTTGTTTTCGCCAGGTGAGGATTTTTCCCTGGAGTTAGGGATTAACAGGACTAAGGAAGAGACTTGTGAAGAACTTGGACTAAGATTGTTGGCAATAAAGTTGGGACTTGTTTGGCCCACATCCCCAGGGGTCTGCCCACCAGGGAAAGCACCAAAGCCTATACCCCTGGAGATCCACCAACAGGGCAATCCCAGGGAAGGCAAGCAGCGAGGCTGGGAGGACATAACCTTTACTGGGTAGGATAATTTCCTTCAGTCACTTCCTTGTAGCTTATCAGTAGCGCAGCGACCTTGGAATAGCCCTTATAATGGAACACAGAGATTAACCTAGACAAAATTAAAATCAACAGAACTAGATAGAGACAGGATTTTTGGTAAAGGTCAGATAAGAAACTATGGAAATGAAACAAGGAACTGTAGAAGGTTACCTAAAACATACCATGATGTGATTATAGAGGCATGCTTATAGAATCAAATGGTGTAAATACAGATGTAACAATAAAAAAAGAACCTGGCTATGCTGATCAACTGAACGCAGTCTCCGTGTCATTCCTTCTTCACCGACTCCATCCACACCTTTGGGAATCCCTGGACCTGCTGGGGTTGGACCCCAACAAAACCCTGGGGCACCAAGGAATCAAAAGCAAGCCTCAGTCCCTGTCCTGTTCCTAGGGCAACTGAGGAGACAGCCATGTGGGACAAAGGACAGGATGTCATGGGAACAGAGAAGTAGGTAGCACTTTGGCCAGCCCTAGGGACGTGACAGCTAGCTATGTCCTGACCAAGGAGAGGAAAAATATATCTTCTACAACTCCTGCCCTCCCCCAAACCTAGTCAGGCAGAGTCATAAAGAAATCCTCCTATCCCCCCCGCCCCCAGGGGAAGAACCTTCCAGGTAAGAGGAACAGCATGTGCAAAGGCCATTCAGGAAAACTGCAGGTTCCAATGAATGGGCCAAAGGGGCTGAGGGTGGACAGAGGAGATGAGCCAGAACTGAGAATGAAGATGGAACGGGAGATGTGTTCTGTGGTTCCAAGGTTACACTTAGGACTTGAATGCCCCAAACTGTCACCCTGAGATTCTCACCTGGAGTCTCTGACAACCGGTCCTCTACCAAACTGTGGCCACCCTGGATGCTGGGGACAGGCGAGTGGTCAGAACAGCTGCCTCCAAGACCCCTATATTCAAGTCTGCCTTCCCAGGTATATCCAAGCACCAAGCACTAACTGCCACCGTGTCAGGGGCCAGCCCAGCTCTGGGAGACTGCCTTAAGTGAACACATAAAAAGTATGTGTGACTAGCACATTGCAATAAATGTCCTCTCCTCCAGCATCTAAAGAACAGCCAGTCATCTTAAGTAGGTTAAGTGCGCGCCTACAACGCTGTCTTTAAGACCCAGTTTTGCAACCTTCAGCCCCAAGGTCTCCCACATTGAATGGATGGCTGTAGAGTTCCAACTCTTCCTCATTTCCTCCACTGGGGCCCTCTGGGACCCTCGAATCAGAGCTGAGACTTTCTAGGTCATCCTCAGAGCAGGCTCCAGAACTGGGTGTGGTCTTAAGCCTCCCACATCCCCAAAACAGGTTGGGGGTTCTGGCATCCTACTGCCTTGGTGCAGGGTCTGTGCCTCGGTCCCCAGTCCCTGTTCAGAAGAGGTTAGAATCCACCTTGCACCCTGCTGGACCCTGCAGTGGGTGGCTCATGATGGCCACCTGACTGACCCCCTCCTTGCTGCCCTGTGCCCAGCCCCTCTCAGCCAGCAGCCAGCAGCCTCCTAGCCACCGCCTCCTGCTCCGAATAGATAATCAGTGCCAGTGCCCTTTCCCAGTGGGAATGACGCTGCTGAAACAAATGGGCTACTCTGAGGCACCTCCCAAGCCCTGAGGCCCAAGGCCATGGCCAAGGAGCAGCCAGTCCTAGCCATGGGGTCACCAAATACACGGAGGAAGATGATGGTCAGTGAGAGCAACTTCTGGCCACCACTCCCTTCTGCAGTGAGCAATAAGAGGCCCCTGCAAATGCCCACTCCTCCAGAAGCTATCCGGGCCCACCTCGCTCCTTGCCGCCAGGCCCAGGCCAATCCCTGGGCAGCCCAAACCCCACATCATCCTTACCACATTCCATCCTAGGCCAGCGCTTCTCCCACATTCAGGCAGGGAAACCCCCTATAAGGTATGGTCCCTACCCCCTATAAGGTAGGCTCCTGTGTCCAGCTGCGATGGACACAGGAGCCTCCCACCCCATGTCTGGTCCTGGGAGGTGGGACACTGGGCCAGATGTCCAGAGCTTGAGCCTTCTCCAGCACTGTCAGGAGGGCAGAACTCTCAGCTCTGTGGTCCCCCTTTGCCCTGGGCCCAAGCCAGGGCATCGTCCCTTTCCCTGGCCCCAGGCAAGCCTGGAGAGCCCAGGAGAGGCATCAAGTCCATCATTCCCAGAGACTCCGGACTGGGGGTGGGCGTCAGCACCCTGTGGCCCCTCCTCGGCCTGGCCTCCCGGCCCATCTGCAGGAACTCAGCGACTGCCCACAAATGGGGCATCTCAACTGCTCCTCTGAACCCTTTGAACCCCCCCTCCCACTGCGTGTCCCCCAACCAGGGATTCAGCTGCCACCCTCAGGCCAGGCCCCTCCCCGAGACTCCAACAGGAGCCACTGTATTCGCTGTGTTGGACTCTGTCTGCGAGTGGGGGGCACCGGCCAGGGGATGGCCCAGCCCAAGCAAGGCAGAGGTGGGGGGAAGGGGCCCGCGGCCTTCCCAGCCCCCTCAGCTCCCACACAGGCGCCTGCCTCCGCGGGCAGCACAACTGACCTCATTCGCCAACTGCAGCAGCCTGCGGGCGCCCGCTGCCCGCCAGGGGAGCCCCCGACCTCCGGGAGGGCCAGGGGTGACAGCTCCGGGCTCCCAACCCCGCCCGGCAGGTGGGGGAGGCCATCCCTCCCCTCCCCCGGCCCGAATTATAATCCCAGTCACGTGCCTCCCAATGCACCTAAAAGCCGGACCCAGATTCGGTAACACCTGGAGGGGGAGGGGCGGGGGCCACCGGGGTGGGAGGAGAGGGGAGAAGGGCCGGGGCGCCCGCCCCCCGCAAAAGTTTCTCCTACCTTGGAGGATCCCCAAGCGCTCCTGCCAGCGGCGCCCCGGCCCCGGCCCGCGGCCAGGACGCAGCCTCCTGCCGCTGCCTCCTTAATTAATCCGGGAGAATGGGGGGCGGCGCGCGCGGCGGGGGCGGGCGCGGGGCGCGGGCCGGGGAGGGGGCCGCGGCGGGGGCTCTCGGCCGGCCGGGGGGCTGGCGCTCGGCGGCCCCCACCCCCGGCGCGGGCTGCGGCGGAGGGCGGGGCGCGGCGCGGGGAGCGGAGCCGAGAGCGGGAGCGCGGGGAGGCTCTTTGTTCTGTAATCCCAGTAAGATTGCCAGTCATTCGCCCCGGCCCTAATCCCAGCCCCGCGCAACACCACCCTCCATTGGCTGTCATTTACATACGGGATTAGCCCGCCCGGCCCGCCCCGCGCCCCGGCCTGGGCACCGCGGGGGGAGCGCCGCTACCCCGCCCGGCGCTCCGCGCCCCACGCGCGTGCCGCCCCAGCGCTCGCCGCCAGGGGGGCCTGCGGGAGGGGCGCCCGCGGCCTCGGCGCCCCCTGGCTGCCCGGCGAGGTCCCTCCATCGCCCTAGCGCTGGCTAGGGCAGATTAGAAAGCAGGGGCGCAGGGACCCGGAGGGTCAAGGTCACTCAGCGGGCGCGGGGAGAGCTCAGGAGGAGAGGCCAGGGCCTGGAGAGACCCAAGGCCCTGCACCTCGTCTGGGGAGACTGGATTCGGCGCAGCTGGTCACTCGCGCCTGGCCCCGGTTATCGGTTATCGTCTGGTGGTTTGGCCCAGGTGCCTCTTTCAGCCTTTGTCCCCTGGGATGTGGAGGAAGGCCGTGACATGCCCAAGGTGGCAGCAGATCCAGTTGGACGCACCAGGTCTCATCTTGTCTGGGCAGCCCTCCTCCTGATCCTCTGACCAGGTTTTAGCCACCCTTTCCCCCGACCATACCCGGTGTCCTGCCCAATCAGGGAGCACACCTCCATCCTCGCCAAAGCCATGCATGTTCACGCAGCACAAGGAATGCCCTGTGTTAGGTCCTTGCCATGCTGGGCACTGCAGGGAGAGACACAAACCACGTGCGTGGGAGCTCCTGGCCTGGATGGAGAGAGCCACATGTAGACTGAGAACCTACTAGGGCCTAGCAAAGCCCAAGGGGTCTACGCCCAGCCCCCTGGGGCCCTGCTGGACACAGTGAACACTTGGTAAAGGCTAACTTAGTCTGGCAGAGCTCTCGCTGGCAAGCCTACAAACCCACCAGCCTGAGAGCTCCTCCCAGGCAGGCCATGTCGCCAATGCCCAGGCCAGGGCAGAGCCAAGTGCCCACTGGATGCCTTGCTCACAGAGGGTGTTGGCCGAGAAGTGGGGATTGGGAACGAGGCCACAGACACTCCCTCCATCCCATGCTGTCCCCTGCCCTTTTGGGGTACCGCCTCCTCTCCCACATCACCAGAAGGCCTGGGGACACTTGGAGGTACCCCTGTGGTGTAGTCCCTCTCAGACCCACATCCCTACTTGCCCTGTGCTGTCCCTGGCATGGCAACCTGGCTGAGGGGAAGAGCCAAGGTCAGGAGCCTGATTGTCAGGTTCAAATCCTGGCTCTTCCTCTTACCACTGTGTGACCTTGGGCAAGGCAGGTCACTTTTCTCAATCTCCATATCCCCCTTCCTGAATCCTCTCAGTCGACCATAGTGTGGCCCCAGCGTGGACAAAGTGATAACGGTCATGCTTGTTAAGCATCTACTAGGGGCTGGGCATATTGCATATAAGATCTCTGTTCCTTACACTAAGCCTGCAAGGGGTGTCCTATTGGCCTCATTTTACACTGAAGTGAAGTGACGTGCTTAGGGACATATAGTGTGTGGGTGGCACTGCTGGGACTGGCTCCTCATTCTGCCGGTTAACCTGCATCACATCTATACCCACACCTGAGATTCTGGGAGTAAGGGCTAGGAGAAGTTGATCCCAGGAAGGACTGGCTGGCTAGGCTGCTGGTTTCTGGGAAAAATGCTTCCTGGACCCTAAGCCCTGGGGGAAGATCCAGAAGCCTTAGGCTCGGGGGCCTGGAGGATCTGAGACCTGGTGTGTGCTCAGTACTGCCCTCTGCAGGCAGAATCCAGAGCAGCAGTAATACAAGTGGGCTGTTGTGGGTGAATGCCACCCTTCTGGCTCTGGTTTCTCTTAGCGCTGGGAACAGCCAGCCTGACCCTAACCTTGTCCAGGCAGAGACTAGGGGCAGTGTGGCACAGCAGGAGGCCCTGGCCTGGCATGTCTAAGCCCCATTCAGCCACATGTGACTGGGTATGAAGACTGGCTTCATGTTCATCCGAGGCTTCTCTGGACCTCAGCTTCCTCATCTGTAAAATGGAGCTAAGACAGTCCTTCATAAGATTGCTATGAGAATTACATGACATATAATACAGGGAAAATGTTTAGCAATTACCCTTGATAAAGGGTAATTTTCACTTTTAAAAAATGTGTTGGCTTCATCTAGGGACACAATCATAGTCACAGTCTTTGCTTGAACTGCTCTTCCTGGGGAGATAGAAATGCTAAGGACAAGATCATGGACGTGGACATTTTTGTTAAGTTCAGCCCCTTCTCCTGCGAAGAGCAGCAGTGGCTCCCTCAGTTGCGAGGAGAGTTTGAACGAGAAGTCCTTGCCAGTGGCTACTCCCCACCTTCAGGAACGTACCTTGCCAGCCTTATGATGCACATTTGCACAGTCCCTCCACATCCTCCCCCAGGCCTGGTCGGGTCACCCCAACTATGCAGGTGTGGGAACGGAGGCTCCTCTCAACAGCCTTGAAGCCACAGGACTGCTCCCTCGGCAAAGCCCTTTCCATGCCCTCTTTCACTTAACCGGGTGGGCCTGACAGTCCCCATTTCTCAGAGGGGAATGTAGGACGCCGGATCATTTGCAGAAGTGAGTGTGTACCTGGGTGTCCTGTTTCCCCATCAGCCCAGGAATGCCTAAAGCAGGAGCTGGTCTCTTCCTCCTGGGCCAGGTTCTCTGGCCAGCAGACTGGCCACCAGGGAGAACTGCCCATATGGACTCAAACCCCTGCTCCCCTGGGGCTTGGGCCCAGTCCTGGGTGCCTGACCTCCTCCATGCATACTTTCCTTTCCCACAACCCTAGACCAGTTCTGGCTCCTTGTTCCCTGGAGGTAAGACTCCATGGGGGGCGGGTGGCAGGTAGAGGGATAGCCCAGCCATCCCAGCGAGGTAAACCTTCTCTGAACATTGGGGCAAACCCAGAGGGAGCCTTGGACTGTGTTGCCCTGTATGTGACCACAAGGCACCAAAGGTGAGAACAACGAACCCAACACCCTCATCTTCTGGGTAAACAGACTGCAGTACCAAGCCCGGGGGTGGACTCCCCACCCCCACCTGCCATTCCTTTTTATTATCACTCTGGCTTTCCTTATATTTTCAGGAATATGATTTTTATCTGGTAATTGCTATTTATCCTTTAAAAATGAGACAAATGGCTTCTGGGATCAACAACTATTTTTAGAACAGCGCATCTCCTATTCCATCTTGGAAACCAAAGGGAAAATAAAATTCGATGTTTGGAAATACGCTTTCAAGGCAGCGTGCAGGATCCACGAAACAAGGGCAGACCAGGTGGCCATAGGCTCAGTAGCCTAGATGTTAAATGCGGTGAGCCAGGGCACTCAAGTGATGTGGGGGCCACAGAGTCTGTGACCCCAATCTCCAACCCCCTCCCGCCACAGGCCTCCTGTTGTCACCTTTCATCTCCTGCCTGAGCTTCGTTGGTTTTTCGTTTTTCGAATCTTTGTTTCCATGGCTTGTCCAGGCTTCTGAGGACAGAAATCATTTCCCTCACTGGGGTTTTGATAAGCAGAGTAACCTCTTAGAGCGCTCCAGTGGATTCCTTCTGGAATCCTAAAAATAAAGCCCTAGTGTTGGGATTTCGGGCGCTCTGACAAGCTGGGGCGGGGACAACTTGGACAAAGGGAGGTCTTCCATTCGGGCACGGCAGAACTGCAGTCCAGCCTCGCAGCCCTGGGGCTGGCCCTGGTGAGCAGTCTAGACCAGCGCTGGCCAAAAGAAATAGGATGTGAGCCACAAACGCCTGCCACAGAGGAAATGTGACATTTCCTCGTAGCCATGTTAAAAAGGTAAAAAGAAGCAGGTGAAATGAATTTTAATAATATATTTTACTTAACCCACTATATAAATTATATGCTCATTTCAACATGTAATATTTTTTAAATGGAGGTATTTTACATTTCCTTCCTTGGACTGAGTCTTGGAAGTCCAGTGTCGATTTTACACTCACAACATCTCACTTGGGATGAGACAGGCTTTAATGTGTGACTAGCAGCTATGTATTGGATAATGCGGGTCGGGGGGATCAATTTTCAACCTTTTTTTTATGCCGCAGATAATTTTCCAATAGGTTCTCACGTAGAAACTCGGTCCTTACAAGAGATCATTGTGGTGCTGCTGGGGTGGGTGCAGGAGTGGGTCCCGGAGCTGCCCTCTCAAACCCCTTCATCTGCTAGCTCCTCTGAGAACTCCTCAGAGCAGACATTAAAAATACTAATAATAATGATAACTGACATTTATTGAATGCTTACTCTAAGCCAGGCATGGTGCTAAACATCTACATTATGCCCATCCTATGGACGAATAGGCTCGGATTGGTGCCTCGGTTAGTCAACGTCACAGGGCCAACATCCCACCCAGCAGTGGGACTCACTGAGGCTGCCTGTGAGGCCTTCACAGGCCCTGGCTGGGAGGAGCTGGGACAAGTGGGGAGCAAGGCACTGCCCCTCACATCACCCCCACTAGGGGTCCCTGCTTCCCAGGCCCCAGCACCTCCAGCCTCTCACCTGGGACCAACCCCCAAGCCTGGCAGGAACCAGCAGGCTTGGTTTTCTAGCAGCTGCTCTGCTAAGCAAATTTGGTTATAAATTCGTGACGACTTAGAGCAACTTCAGGGCCAGAAGAGGAAAAACAAGGGGATGCGCTTCAAAGCCACTTGCCCAGACACTGTTGGAAAAGCCAAGGCCTGCCAGAAAGTTCCGGGGGGACTTCTGCTTTGGTGTGTGCCTCTGTGGAGGGTCAGGTAGGGGGGACTCAGAGCAGCCAGGCACCTTCTCCCTGCTAGACGCTGAAACT